GCCAAAACAGAGAAAGAAAATTATAGACCAATTTCCCTAATGAATATAGAAGCAAAAATTTTAAGTAAAATATAAGCAAAGAGATTACAAGAACTTATCTGGAGGATAACACACGATGACCATGTAAGATTTATACGAGAAATGCAGGGTTGGTTCAATATTAGGAAAACTATCTGCATAATTGACCATTTCAACAACAAAACTAACAGAAATCATGATTATCTCAATAGATGGAGAAAAAGCATTTGACAAATACAACACTCATTCCTGTTAAAAACACTAGAGAGCCTAGGAATAAATGGAGTCTTCCTTCAAATGATTGACAGTATCTATCAAAAACCATCAGCAAGCATTATATGTAATCGGGATAAGCTAGAAGCATTTCCAATAAGATCGGGGGTGAAACAAGGATGTCCATTATCATCACTGTTATTCAATATTGTGCTAGAAATGTTAGCTGTAGCAATTAGAGAAGAAAAAGAAATTGAAGGAATTAGAATAGGCAAAGAAACAAAACTATCCCTCTTTGCAGATGATATGATGGTATATTTAGAGAATCAAGTAAAAAACTACTTGAAATAATAAACAAATTTAGCAAAGTTGCAGGATATAAAATAAACCCACAGAAGTCATCGGTATTCCTATATATTACTAACAAAGCCCAGCAGCAAGAGATAGAAAGAGAAATTCCATTTGAAATTACTGCAGACATTATAAAACATTTGGGAAGCTACCTGCCAAAACAAAACCAGAAACTATATGAACACAATTAGAAAACACTTTTCACACAAAGTCAGATCTAAATAACTGGAAAAATATCAGTTGCTCACGAGTAGGCCGAGATAACATAATAAAAATGACAATTCTACCTAAATTAATTTACTTATTCAGTGCCATACCAATCAAAATACCAAAAAATTATTTTATAGAGCTAGAAAAAAACAATAACAAAATTCATCTGGAAGAACAAAAAGGTCAGAATATCAAGGGAACTAATGAAAAGAAATGCAATGGAAGGTGGCCTAGCTGTACCAGATCTTAAAACGTATTATAAGGCAGCAATCATCAAAACTACTTGCTACTGGCTAAGAAATACAGTGGAAGATCAGTGGAATAGGTTAGGTATGCAAGTCATAACAGTCAATGACTATACTAATCTACTATTTGATAAATCCAAAGACCCTAGCTTCTGGGATAAGAAATCACTATTTAGCAAAAACTGCTAGGAAAACTGGAAAAACGCATAGCAGAAACTAAGCATAGACTAACGTCTTACACCCTATACCAAGATAAAGTCAAAATGGGTACAGGATTTAGATATAAAGACTGATACTATAAGTAAATTAGGAGAGCAAAGAATAGCTTACCTTTCAGACCTATGGAGAAGGGAAGAGTTTATGACCAAACAAGAGATAGAGAACAATATGAAATTAAAAACGGATAATTTTGATTACATTAAATTGAAAAGTTTTTGCACAAATAAAGTACAACCAGTGTCTCTGATAAAGGTCTCATTTCTAAAATATATAGAGAACTAAGTCAAATTTATAAGAATACATATCATTTCCCAACTGATAAATGGTCAAAGGATATGAACAGACAGTTTTCAGATGAAGAAACTAAAGCTATCTATAGTCATATGAAAAAATGTTCTAAATCACTATTGATTAGAGAAATGCAAATCAAAATGACTGAGGTACCACATCATATCTATCAGACTGACTAACATGACAAAACAGGAAAATGATAAATGTTGGAGAAGGATGTGGGAAAACTGGAACACTAATGTATTGTTGGTGGAGTTGTGAAATGATCCAACCATTTTGGAGAGCCATTTGGAACCATGCCCAAAGGGCTATAAAAATGTGCATACTCTTTGACCCAGCAATATCACTTCTAGGTCTGTATCCCAAAGAGATCAGGGAAAGGACCCATATGTACAAAAATATTTATAGCAGTTCTTTCTGTGGTGGCAAAGAATTGGAAATTGAGGGGAGGCCCATCAACTGGTGAATGCTGAAAAGTCATGGCATATGAATGTAATGGAATGCTACTGTGCTATAAGAAATGATGAGCAGGTAGACTTCAAAAAAACCTGGAAAGACTTATATGAACTGGTGTAGAGTGAAATGAGCAGAACCAAGAGAACACTGTACACAGTGATAGCCACATTTGTGATGACTGGCGTTGATAGACTTGGCTCTTCACAGCAATGCAAGAATCTAAGACAACTCCAAAACACTCGTGACAGGAATTGCTATGCATACTCAAAGAAAGAAACAGGGCGTCTAAATGCAGATGGGAGCATACTATCTGCTCCCCTTTTCCTTTGTTGTTTTGTTTTATTGTTTCATTCTTGTGGTTCCCCCCATTAGTTCTAATTGTTCTTTATATCATGACTAATGGGAAAATATGCTTAATATGAATGTGTAAGTAGAGACTATATCAAATTGCATGCCATCTTGGGGAGGGGGGAGGAGAGGGAGGGGGAGAAAATTTAAAACTCAAAATCTTATGTAGGGCCAGCTAGGTGACGCAGTGGATAGAGCACCGGCCCTGAAGTCAGGAAGACCTGAGTTCAAATCTGGCCTCAGACGAAACACTTGACACTTACTAGCTGTGTGACCCTGGGCAAGTCACTTAACCCCAATTGCCTTAAAAAAAAATCTTAAGACAGTGAATGGTGAAAACTAAAAATTAATTAATTATATATATATAAAAAAAAAGGTAGAGAAGGGAGCTGGTTGTTGGAATCTTAAGAAGCTGAAAGGGCTTGTGTGGTTCATGATGCCAGAAAGATTATTAAAATAAATGCTGATGCCCCTGGGGTTGATGAGACAAGATGAAGTGGAGAGAAAAACTGAGTTAGGTGTTCATGTCACTGAGAAAACTGGGAAAGTGACTTGCAGCCTGGAAAAATACAACAAGGATAAAGAGAAGCAAGTAGAAATTGATTGCAAGGATTTCATAGCCAGGAAAGACAATTCTTATAATTTTATGGACTCACATAATCATCACAGAGATCACAGGACCTAGATCAGTGCCATCTACAAAAGGGACAGTTAATGAATCATTGGTCATTAATTGTTCAGGTAAAAGGGACAGGCTGTTGAAGCTCAGTGATAACTGTGGTACAGCTTCCAGGCATATCCAGATCATGATCACCTAGAAAGGTTTGTCTTCAACTGTGCTTTCCCAAAGAACAAACAAGTCACTACTGCTTCTCAGTGTACTAAATACACTAAATAGCAATTGTATTAACGAAAAGGTAAAATTCAACAGGAAATAAACTTAAAGCTTTAAAAATCTTGCACCTATATACGTAGTCAGAGAGTTGGGAAGGACTTTAGACATCATGTAATTCAACAGGGCCTCCCCCACTATTTCACAAATGAGGGAACTGAGGCTCAGACAAGTTAAGTGACTTGCTCAAAGTCACACAGGAGTTAAGAGGCAGAGCTGGGATATGAATCCAGGTTTTCTACCTCCAAATATGGCTCTTTACACTGTCTCTCAACTTGTGACCTGGTCACTACGATGGAGCCAATTTTTTTTTTTTAGTCAGTGGGGTCAGTATGATTCTGTTCAGGCCTTCACTCCATAGCTCACAGAACTGTCTTCCTTTCTGCTTTAAAAAAGCTGCTGTGGTGGTGATTATTGTTATAACTGGCCCATTAAACCACAGGAGAGGGGCTGCAAGATGATGCCATATTGAATAGAGTACCAGGCAGGGAATCAGGAAGGCTCATCTTCCCGAGTTCAAATCTAGCCTCGGACACTTACTTAGCTGTGTGACCCTGGGCAAGTCACTTAACCCTGTGTGCCTCAGTTTCCTCATCTGTAAAATGAGCTGGAGAAGGAAATGGCAAACCACTCCAGTGTCTTTGTCAAGAAAACCACAAAAGGAATCAGGGAGATTTGAACACACTGACCAAAAATGAACAATAACAAAAGGCTTACCCCTTGGGGAAGAGGCTAAGTAAGTATGGATTGGTGATTACTGTGCTGGAGAAGTAGGGGGAGGTGTTAAAAAAGTTTGTCCTGGCTGTGAAGTACAGGAACAGAGGCAGCTTAATTCTGGTTTCAAAGGCTACAGACCTTTCGAGTATGTACAATTTTAGATTATCCTTAGGGGAGAGAGGAAAGCAGTGAGGCTCAATGTCAAAATTATTGACTCATTTCTACAACGTTTGTTGGGTGCCTGCTCTTTACTCAATACTGTCTGAGATACAAAAGATATTATAATCCTGGTGAAGCTGTGAAACCTAAGTCTTCCTGACTCCCTGCCTTGGCGCTCTAACCTAGCCTTAATTGCCCATCTAGGACAATTTCATGCTCAAACACTTGTCCAATGGGCAGGTGTAGAGACTGTGGAAAAAAGGCCCACAGGTACAGGACAGTATTACACAGTGTAAACCAAAGCATGAACCTGCAAGTCTTCATCTTACAAGCTCTTCCCCAATAATTTATGCATTCACTTCTGTATGTCACAGATCTAGAAGCTCAGTGCCTCAGTTTTACATAGTGAAAAGGTATGTATGTATGTGTGTATGTATCATTTCAGAAAACTCAAGGCCAGGAACACACCTCTGCCAATACAAGTGTATTAAGTACTGAGTCTAGCCAAATGTTACAAAGCCAGTATGTGTTAAGATGAGGGAACCCAGGTCCCCCTAGCTCTGCCTTCAATATACCACAGAATAATTAAATGACTCTCCATATTGAGATCCGCAAATATAATACATCTGGAAAGAATGAATTAGAATCAGAAAACCTAGATTCAAGTCCTGGTTTTGCCATCTACTTACCTGTGTTCCTTGAGACCTTACTCTTACGGAGTGAAATGAAGAGGTTGGACTCCGTGGGTCCCTTCCATCTCTGAACCTATGATCTGGTGCTTAATAGTTACCCCTAAATGCTTTCTATTAACTCCTGGAACAGTTTTGCAGTAAAACAAGACTTTTCAGTCTTTCAGACTTAACTCTTGCCCCAAAACATACCTGAACTGTTCTCTTTGGATTGCCTCGGCCTGCGGGCAATTACAAAGTCCTTTTCCTTCGCTTTCACCTTTTGCTTTTTTGGCGGAGGGGCTTGAGTTAAGAGCAGCTCCTGGGGGATGTTTTCACTGTCCACCTTATCTTTCTCCAGAACTGCGACCCCCATTCCTGAGAGCAAATCCGATGTCTTGTTAAGATCCCATCCCCACGTGAAGGTGCTATTAACATTGCTGTTCGAATCGGGAATCTCCTGGAGGTGTTTCCTGCAGGAAATGGACAAGTTGCATCCTTATAGCTTTCCATTAATTACCATCTCCCAAAACGGATGCGTCCAAGCCAAATCGAAACAAGGGCTTGCAAAGCCACCTTCTGTATGTAGATAACACTGCTTATTTGGAAAGCACAGGTGATTGTCATAAATTGGGATGGGAAGGGGCTAGGGAAGCGAAAGCTGGTAAGTTAGGATACGTGTGCATTTATCAAAAACGACTTTTTTCGTTGCAGACTGTGCCTAGGTTACCTAAAAGAGGAGTGAGGTAGGGAAGAGGCAAAAAAAGGGAACCAGGCATCCAGGCATCCAAAACATCAACACCCACGCCCAGCCTGCCCAGCTTGCAGAGCCACGAGGCAATAGACTCCATTCCCAAACCCACAATTACCCAAAGCAATTAAGCAGAGACGGCTAAAAAGATAATGGTGAGATACATAGTATCCACATTTTTCTTCTTCTCCATCCGCTTGTTCATCATCGCAAATAGGTCTGGTTACCTGTGCATGATGGGCGTGCCGTAGCAGAGGAGGGGATTTAAAACCTTGCATCAATTGCGCGGCTCTCGGTCTCCGGATCCACGCGTCCCGACTAGGAGCCGCACCACTACTCCCCGCGGTGGGATCCGGACCCAAGAAGGCAATGTTCCATTCAACCCGCGCGCGGAACCTTTTCCCTCTCCTGGTAGGCGGCCTGGGGGCAGGCGCGCTGCCTGCTGGGATTTGTAGTCCCCGAACTACCAATCCCTCGGTCCTTCCTCTTGCCAAATCATCAGCCTGCGTCTGTCCCTCCATCCCACTCTTCGTATTTCTCGCGCGCTCCTTCTCACTATGACCCAGAAGCCCCTGCGGGGCGGGACGCCAGCGAGGCCGGGGAGAGTGGTGACGTATTCTTGAGGAAGCGGAAGAGAAGTAGGGGGCCGGCGGAGAAATGTCACCGGCTTGAAGGCAGCCGGTGTTCCTGCGCTGCCTCGGCGCTTCTGCTCCGTACTCACCTCGCGACGGCGGAGGCGCCGGCGGGTCCTCGCGGCCCCTCCGCCCGTTGGCCCGCGGAGCTCCAGGCGGGACGGCGAGATCGGGGCTCCGGAACGCGCAGTGGGTGACGGCCGCGGTGGGGATGGCGATCCCGGGGGCCCGCCGCGCCTGCTGAGGGGAGCACAGACGCCCCGGTAAGTCGGCGGCAGCGGGGGGTGGGGGTGGGGCGGAGAGCCTCCCCAGGATCCCAAGCCTGCCCGGGAAGCATCTCCACTCCGCAGCGGAGGGTGGGGTGGGCATGAAAAGGAACGAGGGGCCCGAGCTCCGCTGCCGGGAGTGGGTTCAGGTGAGGGGGCGTCACTAGCCATCTTCCTCCTCCCCACCGCACCCCGGCCGCGACCCCGAAAGTTGCGGGTTCACGGCTCCTAGGGCCGAGGCTTGGAGGGTGGTGAGGGGTCTGGAGCTGGTCCGCATCGCGCCGGGATGTCCGAGCGCGTTCCGGGGCTCTGGGCAGTGCGAGCACCTGCGGCGGGGGGCGGTGCGCCCGGGAGGGGGCGGGGAGGAGGTGGCTTCGGTACCCGGCTGCTAATGGGGAAGGCCGAGAGGGAGCCTCCCCTCCCCCAGCCGAAATGCGGCGTCGGCCGGGTGAGCTTCGGGCTGCCCTTCTGGGCCTCGGAAAAATGGAAAGCTGAACTATCTGTTTCTCGAATTAAGCCTCCCTTCTCCCGGATGTTTGTTTGTTCTTGATGTTTATTCTTGTTTATTTAGCCTACTCTTTGTGGATGGATGGGTGGATGGATGGGTGGATGGGTGGATGGATGGATGGATGGATAGATGGATGGATGGGTGGATGGGTGTCAGCGCTTTTCTTTCAGAGAATGCTTGATCTCTAAGATTATTATCATGCCTGCGACATTGAAAATAAATTATCGGTATTGTGTTGGGGAAACAAAAGGAATTGTGGATGATTCGTAAAGTATAGTGACTATCGGTATTGGTTGAATTGGCTATTGTTATTTTAAAGCTAGGTAAATTTACGAGCACCAGGTTTAGTGCTTACTCTGCGTAGTTCGTTAAATTAAAAGTGGTTATATTAAGTAATTATCTTTATTTTCTCATGCATTTAACTTTATTATCGTGAAACTCCCCCCGCCCCCGCCTCTTTTGTCAATGTGGTTTGGGGGCTTAGTCCAAAATATTTGACCACTCTTTAGTTACTCTTCTGGGGAAAAACCATTTAAACGAGTGTTTAAACGTAAATAACTATATTCTTCTCCAGGAAAAGTATATTTAGGGCAAAGCATGCCCGATTTAAATGCAAGTCATTTTTATCTTTATCAATTTCTTCATTCTCTTTCTTTACACAGATGGTTGATTATTAACTAATTTTTTTTATGGTTATAAAATCTTGAGGTAGGGGAAGGGTTCTCTAAAGGTTCATTGTTTAAATGCGTTATCCATCTTGATGCCAGGTTTTCTCTTTACTATTTATAAACTGGCTAGATTTTTTTTCTGCTAATACTTTTGTGTTGTTAAGTGTAAGGTATAAAATTCTAATTTTATAAATTAGGAACATTTTTTGTGCTTTCTGTCTTTTATTCAGACCGTGAAACTTCTCTCATTTAAAACCTATGCCGATGTACAGATTAGTAAAGGACTCCCATTAGAGGACTTCTGGTTTAAACATCTTGAATGACAGCTCTAGGGAACAAAGTCCTGCAATAGTGGAACAGGTGTTTTGCAGGCAGCAGCGTCATCATTATTACACTGATAAACCAGAATGCCTAAACTTGCTTAACGTGGGTTAATGTATTATGCATTATATTCAGTCCTGACCTATTGTCTTAACTTTTTTCAATTTATTTACATTATTGATAGTGCTACCTAAAACCATGATAACTTTTAATCCATTTTAAACTTGGAGTCATCCAGCCTGTCAGTTTTCAGTTAGATGGTCTCCACAAGCTTAGATTTAGCATTTTCTGAGTAATAAAGATCCTTGATAAATTTTAGGTTTTTTTGTATTTAATCTCATTTCCATAACACCTCGTTTTGCATCTAGGCAAGATATGATTCTTATTTCTGTGGTAAGGATTATTAAAAAGATATATATTAGTGACCTAGGTAATGAGTTAATAATATGCTTATTATATTTGATGCCATTGAGCAGGGGTTTGCCAGCGCCTTGGAAGCTTGAAATAGAATTCAAAGTGATGGTAAATGAGACATGTGTCTATTGGACTTCATCCTACTGGAATATGTGAGGTACTTGGTGGCAGAAACAAATGAACAAATACAGGAGGATGAATGGCAGAGCACAGATAGAACAAAAACTGGGAATCACAGCTGATCACCAGTGAAATAAGATATAGGAATATGGGTAGTGTAATAGTACCAAAACAAACATGATAAGTATTCATGTTAGTAGAAGTAATGGCGAGATTAGTGAATAGAGAAAGCTGGACTCAGTCAGGAAAACTTGGGTTGGTGCTGACATATACCAGAATGACCCCTGGATAAGTCACTTTACCTCCAGTGCCTTGGGCATCCGCATTGGTTGTGACAGTTTACTCTTAAGAGGTCTCTATACCAGTAAAATCACAGATCTCAACCACTTACACTTCTCCCATCAGCTTTGATGATATCACCTACATTAATAGAAGAACTGGGATGTAATCCTTTTAAATTCTCTTGGTTTTTACACAAAGGGGTAAAGGTATTGATGCCATTTGTTTACCTTGTAGATAAATGACTAAGTACTATGGTGTATAGTCAGAAATTTTGGGTGCCTAAGCAGAGTATTCCAGAAAGGGTCCCTTACTCTTTGTTAAATATAAAACATTCTCAAAGTAGGTAGGACTTCCTTGGTGATATTTATAACTATAAAGGATAAAACAGCTAAGTACCTTAAAGAGCTATTTAATTAAAATTGGCTCTCCTTGTCTTTCCACTTTATCCTCACATGATGTCCACTATAGCCACATAAGCAGTTAATCTTCAACCAATTCAGAAAGTTTAGTGTTTCTTAGAAGTTTAATAGTTTTCTTTAGACTGCTCTGAAATTCTTTTATCTTTAGAACATTCTATCACCTAGGTTACTACTTTATCCTTTTTCTTAGTTATTCTGGTTTGGCCTTTTTTGACTTCTTTAGCTTCTGGATCCGCAACATTTTAGGAGTTTCTGAGGCAGTTGGTAGATGAAAAAAAATAGTGGTTATCTAATGTTTATTTTGAAGTACATGAAGAGTTTTCAAGTGAAGGCTACTGACCAATTTGTTGGATTTTTAAATATCACAAAGGATTGAACAAGAGAAATGAACTTAAATTGATGAGAGAATTCTTTTAGTTTATTATAAAATGTTATTTTTTCCCTTTATTAATCTGTCTCTCCCATTCCCCTGTCTAACTCATGGATCAAATTAAGGGGGAAAGAAACCTAATAAAATAAAGCCCTCATTACAATAACTGTAGTCCTATAAAACAAATTCCCACTTTGTGTTTAAAAATGCATATCTTCTGTATTTTATCACCACATTGTCAAGAAGTATCATGTTTCATCATTTTTTGGACATGTCATTTATTAAAAAGTTGTTTTACTCTACAATTTTGATAATGGGGAAAATTGTTTTCCTATTTTCTTTCTTTACTCTGCATCGTTTCATAGAGATCTTTCTTGAACTGTCTCATTTTAAAAATTTCTTTTGGCAAAGTAATGTTCTATTACTTTTGTACACCGTAGTTTAGTTAGCCATTCATCAATTGGAGGACACTTAGTTTCCAGTTTTGGGTTCCCATGACAGGAGCTGTTATAAATATTTGTGTACATATAGGTCCTTTTCCTCTTTCTTTGATTTCATTAGAGTATGGACCTAGTAATGGTATAGCTAGGTCAGTAGGAATGCACATTTTCATAGTTTGGGAAACATAGTTTAAATTACTTTCCAGAATGGCTGTACCGATTCAAAAGTTCGACCAACAAGGCACTAGTATACTTGTTTTCCCACCGCCCCTCCAACATTTGTCATTTTCCTCTTTTGTCACATGCCAGTCTGCTGGGCTGGCTTGAAACTTGAAGTTGCTTTAATTTGCATTTCTCTAATTATTATTAATATAGAGCTTTTTTCATATAGTTGGTGATAGCTTGTATTTTTTCCTTTGAAAACTGCCTGTTTGTATCCTTTGGCCATTTATCTATTGAGGAATGGCTCTTATGCTTATAAATTTGAATTAATTCCTTGTATATCTTGTGAGACCTTTAGAGAAAAATCATTTAGACATTAGAACCGTAGGCATCAAGTTCTCAATTATTATTATTATTACCATTATTTATTTGAAACTTTGATTTTAATGAGGTAGGGAATTCCATCTATCCATACAGATCAACAGCTGTTCTGAAATTGTAGTTATAGTTTCCTAGGAAAAAGATTCTTGCCCAGGGTCGTACAGCCAGTATATGTCAGAAGATGGACTTGAACGTAAGTCTTCTTGACTCTTCAGCCACAAGCCTGTTTACCTAGGAAGTTATTCAATCTCTGCATATGTGGAGGAACTCTAGTGGGCTCAGTAAATAAAGCATGGGCCTTGGAGTCAGGCAGACTCATCTTCCTGAGTTCAAATCCAGTCTCAGACACTCACTAGCTGTGTAACCCTGGGCAAGTCACTTAATCCTGTTTGCCTCAGTTTCTCATCTGTAAAATGAGCTGAAGAAGGAAATGGCAAACCACTCCAGTGTCTTTACCAAGAAAATCCCAAGTGGGGTCACAGGGAGTCTAGTAGAACTAATGGCTAAACAAGAAATCTTTAAGCACAGGATTTAAAGCTATTTTGGAAGGTAGGTACTGACCTACCTTTGAAGCAAGGCAATG